GCGGCGGCCAGTACGTCCCTCGGCCCCTGCCGCTTCCAGCAGCTCTCTTTGGCCCGGAGCAGTGAACCGCGGCCAGTGGGAGCTGCGATCGGCTGGACCTGCGGACGGGGCAGGTAAACAAACCGGCCCGGCCCGCCAGGGGCTTTCCCTACACAAGCGGTGACCCCAGTTTGAGAAACACTTTAAAAAATTCCTTTAGATCAGTAAGTTTAAATGCCATTCAGTCATTCAACAAGTATTGGTAAAATGATTTTGCCTTCCTCTTTTTGTATAATTTTAAGAGGAAAAAGTGTGGTATTGGTCTGAGATGTTCATTGCTAAGAAATCAAAATAAGTAATCACTGACTCGATTGATTAGATTGTAACTTTGAGAAACAACTGTTTTAGGAGGGCTAAAAATCTTTCAAACCACCACCCATTAACCCAGCTAAACCGCATTCTTCGTGATGTTGGTTCTATATAGCCAGGCTATGGGAATACCACACCTGGCAGTGTGACTGTTGAAACAGTTGGGGGCACGTATGTATGTCCCTTGAGCAAGCCCTACGTTCTACTTACCGAGAGTACAAATACTACATTACCTCTAATAGTCATGGTTCACCTCTCTCTGCCAGCTGCTAATATCCTAAGGCTTTTGATGGAGAGATAACAGATGATTCCATTCAGTTTTCTGTGACAAGCCCATCATGAGGTCAGCTCCATAGTTTTCTCCAGAGCCTTCATTCCCTTGATTACATGCAGATATATTACTGGTGCTTGGATGTCTCTGTTGCATAACAAGTTAGTGGTGATGTTGATTCTGGGAGATTCTTGGATCCATCTGGAGTATTTGCTCAGTTTCATGGGTTTCTTGGATCTGAGGAAACCAATTTCCACCCTATTCAGTTGCTGTTCCTTCTGGAAAGTCCAACACTAATATAGGATTGTGCCCTCCACACCCTCTTTCTGTCTCCCTGATCAGCTCCTGATTATATAAGGCTTATATGGATTAGTTGACACCCTTTGTGTGTTTTACCCGCTTGGGGGTTTTGGCCTTACGATCCTCCCTTTCTCAACAAATTACATGATCAGCAACTGGCAGGAGAGGGGGATCATGATATCTAGATCCTATTGCTGCCTCCAAAAAAAGTATTAAACTGTGGTGACATTTCTTCTACTCCCCTGAGTGCCATCAGGGCTTTTCACAGCTTGTGTGTTCTAAAGGTATATCTGTTGGATTTCCTATGAAAAACTAGGAAAGGGATGTCCAACAAACTTTTTTGTATCCTTGAGCTTTAGGAGTAAGACAAGATGGCTCTGTCCCTTTTAATGAATAATTATTAGAACCTACCAGCGTGGTTTTTAACTACCCTGTATCAACTGCCTAGTGGCAAGGAACTTCATTTTTACCGAATTCTAAGGGAAAGGCTTTAGACGCTCTCTTTAAGACTACATCCACGCTACGGGTGCCAAGTTTATTGACCTGTATTTTGACGGTGCTGATCTATCTCAGTTGAAAGACTTTTGAGGGCTATAATAAAGGTGAAGACCGCCAAATCACTGGCAAGGTGCTTAGATCAGCCTGCCTTCCAAATGAAATCCTTCAGATTTCCAAGAAAACCGTTCTTAGTCCTTCCCAAAGGCAGATTATTAACACTGAGCCGGGGTAACCTTGGAAACCTCAATAGAGGAGATAGATTTTCCTTCTTAATCTTTGCTACTTCAGAAGTAGGGAATGTTGTTTCTAGGCAACAATCCCAAGAGGGCCTCAAACTAATCCTGTGCCCAGTTTTTTTCCTTCTGTCCCACCTTTTGGAGGCTATCTGGCATGGAAGGCAAATCCTTTAGAAATATTGGTCTTGGAGGCTGAATAAGAGTATTTCCTCTAGTTCAAGACCATACCAAAGCCTAACCCTCCTTCCCCTTCCCTTTTTAGGGAACAGTCTCCTAGAAAATAGTTACAAGAGGAGATGTTGGCCTTGCTGCAAATGGGAGCCATAGAAGACATGCCATAGTCATCTTAGGAGGGTGTTCAGAAAGAAAATCAAGGATGTTCACTGGAAGAGTTCAGGTCCATTTGGTTCCTTTAACAGCATGAGATGTCTTCAGGCCCCAATGTATTTCTTTCCCATTCGTAGAATCATAGAATATCCGGTTTGGAAGGGACCTCAGGAGGTCATCTAGTCCAACCCCCTGCTCAAAGCAGGACCAATCCCCAACTAAATCATCCCAACCAGGGCTTTCTCAAGCCTGACCTTAAAAACCTCTAAGGAAGGAGATTCCACCACCTCCCTAGGTAACCCATTCCAGTGCTTCACCACCCTCCTAGTGAAAAAGTTTTTCCTAATATCCAAACTAAATCTCCCCACTGCAACTTGAGATCATTACTCCTTGTTCTGTTATCTGGTACCATTGAGAACAGTCTAGGTCTATCCTCTTTGGAATATAGTTGAAAGCAGCTATCAAATCCCCCCTCATTCTTCTCTTCTGCAGACTAAACAATCCCAGTTCCCTCAGCCTCTCCTCATAAGTCATGTGCTCCAGCCCCCTAATCATGTGCTCCTATTCTTAATTAATGTTGCTTTGTTCTAAATGTTAAATGGAGTCTCTTGTAATATATTAAGATATGCTATTTGTTCAGAACGCTGTCAGTTTTGTTACGAACAGACTTAGCCAGGCTGCAAGGTAT